AAAAAAAAAAAAAAAAAAAACTCTCCTTATGTAAAGAAGAGGAAATGCTACAGTCCCGTTACGAAACTATTCTGTCGAGATTTGTAACCGTTAGATTCACATGTAACTGTCGTGGATAGTTGATGTAACAGTTAAAAACCCCAACAAAATAGTCCGTAACGGGACTGTAAAATCTCCTGTAAAGAAAATAGAAATATGTCCAGTTGATTTGAAGTGAGAAAAAATAGACCCATTATTCGGCATTAAATTTAGGGAAAACTACACTTAACCCACCTAACTATAGGGATTTTTATACTTTTTCCACTCAACTTTTTTTCGTGACAGTTTGCCCATATAACATTTCAAATAATTGTACTTAACCAATTTTCGGTCATCGTCTGACCATTTGTAAAGGAAAAGTGTGAACAAAAAAAAAATTTGAGTGGGTATAGTACAAAGAAATGTATATGTGAGTGGGTAAATTGTCATTTTTTCAAAGATAATTAACTTAACGAATGACTGAAAAGTCAATTTTATCCTTAGAAATTCCTGACGATGACCGAAAATTGGTTAAGTGCAATTTTTTGTAAAGTTATATAGACAATATGTCACAGAAAAAAGTTAAGTGAATAAAGTGCAAAAAACCCTATAGTTATGTGAGTTAAGTGTAGTTTTCCTTATATTTATTATTTTTCATTCAACTTTTCATGTATATACCTTAGTTTCACTTGTTTCCGACATGACATTTAAACTAAAGTTGAGGTCAAAATGATCATCTCGTAATATTTTTAGAGCTCTCCATTTTTTGGCTTTAATTCTAGTTCTTTTCTTTACTACACCCAAGTACCAAAATTGATCAAAGCCAATTTACGTTGAAGGGCAAGTGAGTTGTACAGTGGGAATGAATAAGAGAGTTGACGAAAGTACAAAATAATGGCCGATGGGACATATAGATATAAGTGATAAAATGATGCACATTGCACAAACCTTTTGCATTATCCTTATCACACATTAAAGGGCCATGGGGAGTGCATTACATTTAGTCAACTCCGAGCATAAGATAACTACACATATAAACTTTGTGCTTTGTGTAAGATTCTTATTTTCTAAACGACTAAGGAGGCGTTTGGATATGAATAATCTAATTACAATTTAAATTTAACTTGAATTTAACTGAGTTCAACATTTTTTGCTCAATATAATTAAAAATTTAAAAATCAATTATTCTCATGGAGATAATTTTAAAATTGGTCCTATAATTTAGCCATAGTCCAAAAAACTACCCCGACATTGACCACTATCAAAATTGTTCATATAATTTCAAAATTTAATAAAATTTGGTCATTTTTAATTAAATTTGGTTCTTTTTTAATCACATTTTATTACATGTTTCGGATAAAAAGGACCAAATTTGATTAAATTTTGAAATTATAGGACCAATTTTGATAGTAGTCAATATCGAGGTGGTTTTTTTACTGTAGCTTATGGGACCAATTTTGAAATCATC